ATGTAAAACTAGGTTTTCCGTCTGGGCAAATGGAGTGAGGAGAAAAACTGAACTTTTATTCTTAACAGAGGGTTTCAGGCCCTTACAGGAGCAAGAGATTCTGTACTAAAGATAACACTGGAAAAAAGTCAACCCAGGGAAGTCACCTGAAGAGCAGAGGTTCTAACGCTGGCACCACAGCGGCTCTGGCCCATCTCCAGGCCCAGGTGTCTTCAGACGGCATGCAGGTGTTTTGGACACACAGCTGAGGCTGACAGGCATTGCACTGGATGTTGCGTCCATTTTCTGGGGGCCTACAAGGGGTGATGAAGTTCCCTTCTCTACCTCAAAATGTTCAAATGTTTGTATAGTTGCTTATTGGGGCCATCTGCATTACCAAGGCACAGCGAACCAGAAGCTTGAAGGGGCCAGCAGTGTGGTTTTATGAGCCCCCAGGGAATGTGCCCTGATCTCTGAGAAGCACTGACCAACACTAACAAGGTAAGAGACGGTGACAGAGGAGAGCATATCAAACTGAAAACCGTGAAGTCATTTCATGTTTCATCAGCAGTTTAACTGTGACAGGCGCTTGGAGAAAGCTCACAAGGTTCATTGGAGGACTTCACTCCATCAGTGCCTCCCAACTGCTGGGTGTTTAGTGTCCATGCATGTCATCTGGGGAGCTGTGGCAACCCCCAGGAGTGGACCCATTCAGGAGGGGTGAGCTTTCATGTCCCTAACCTGCTCGTAGAGAAGGTCACACCAAAAACAGAGAAGCGTAAGCCAGTTTTCTCTGAAACATGTCCCTACTCCACTTTGTAGGAGGCACTGAGCCGACAGCTGGTTAGATCGCCTGCAGGCACTTCACCGCTCCCTGGGCCTCAGTTTCCTTATTTGGAAACTGAGAACAACTTTGCGAGACTGCTGTGAGAAGCCAATACAACGCCTGGCACTGGAGAGGTCTGGGGCAGCAGCCTGGGGCTCTCTGGGCCTAACTCTGCCTTCCCCTCCCTCTGCCCACTCCTTTTGGTCTCTTCTGGTCTCTGTCCTCATGGCTCTAGACGCTAGTCACTGTCAGAGGTGCCAGAAGGAACCCGAGACGAATTGATGGCAACAACCTGTTTTGTCACAGTAACATTGCCAAACCGTAGCCTGGGCACACCAAGTGCATTGTGTATGCAAAGGACACACCATTTAGGGCGTTCTCTCCTTGTTTAACACCCTTCCCAGGTAAGGTGGGGAGCAGGTTAGCACACAGCACTCAGCAACGCCTGACCTGCGAAGCGTCCTGCAGGGTGGACTCGTCTTTACTCTGCTGCGACCCCTATGCACCTGCCTCAGTCCCTGCTTTCCAAAGTGACAGGCTGTTCTCTGATAAACTCACTACCTCTGGGTGTAAGTCTAATAACGAGTTAACCTCATACCTATCCCTGCCAATCTGGATTTCAATTGGGGAATTCTCAGTGATTTTGTCAGGATGCTTTGCTTGCAACTAACAAAAGCAGTAAGTGAATTTCTCTTAAACAATAAAGAGCCTCATCAACCCACCCAACAGAAGAAAAGGGACAGGAAATTGGAGAAAGCTCATTCATGGCTCAGATGTCCAGGCCCACCTTTCTCTGCCATCTCACACCTCACTGGCATATTTTGAAGCAAGTGCTGAGAGGGAGGAAAAGGGGCAGTCACTTTTCACAGGCCAAGGTGCCCATTTCTACACCCAGTATTGGCAAGAACTCAGGAGCCTGTGTCGGGAGGATCAAGCGATCCTACAATGAGCCGTGATCAGGCCACTGCACTCCAGCCTGGGCAACAGGGAGACCCTGTCTCAAAAACAAAAAGAATGGAGGTACCCTGATGCCTTGTCTTTGAGGGAGGACCTTGCATCTACCAAGGTCCATGAACATTTGCTAACCAACTGGATTTCAGTTAGCAAGGAAGAAATGGGTGACTAGTCTCCTCCACGCCATAAGGCCCAGACCCCAAGGAGCACATGGAGAACAGTGGAACCTTCGTCATGACAGTCCCAGTCCTGAATGCCTCAGCCAAGTTCCTGAGTCCCTCCACGCCTCAGCAGCTTCATCTGTAGAATGGGGCTGCCAGTATCCACCTGATGGGGTGGCTGTGAGAAATGAGTTTGTGCAGACAGGCACCCAGCATGCACTGGCACGTGGCAGCTTTACCACCATTCTTGTTAGCATTGTCATCTTTTCCCCAAGGACCTTCTTTAATTAAGCTACTCAGTATTTACCTGCGTAGATCTTAACGTTTTTGATGCAACATGCTGCCCAGACCCTGAGGATTTCGGATAAGGAACTGTAAACCTGTGTATATTTTTCAGAAGTGACATAAATGTAAATGAGATTGTAGGGTTTTTTTGAGATCTCCATATAAGAGCTATCTGTACATTTTTAATGTGTCATTATAATTTGAGTCAATCTCCCTTTTCTGTTTTAAGAGACAAGGTCTCGCTATGTTTCCCAGGCTGGCCCCAAGTGTCTCGGTGCAGTAATCTCTCACCCCAGCCTCCCAAGTGTGGCATGCCTGGCTCAGTCTCCGTTTTGAGTCACATTGCAGCATTTCAGTTCAGGTGCCCCAGGGCCTGACTTCCACAGGTGCTGCTGCAATATGAGTCCCTCACGTGCTGGTGCAAGCACTGGTCCTGTTCCCAGCTCAGCAGTGCTGTGGATGCACCTGCAAAGCTGGTTCTGCTGTTTTCTCATGGAGCTATCGTGGTCAAGTACAAGAGCCTCATAACCTGACATTATCTTGCTAGGGAAATATAAAAACATTTTTTTTTTTTTTTTGAGATGGAGTTTTGCTCTTGTTACCCAGGCTGGAGTGCAATGGCGTGATCTCGGCTCACCGCCACCTCCGCCTCCTGGGTTCAGGCAATTCTCCTGCCTCAGCCTCCTGAGTAGCTGGGATTACAGGCATGCGCCACCATGCCCAGCTAATTTTTTGTATTTTTAGTAGAGTCAGGGTTTCACCATGTTGACCAGGATGGTCTCGATCTCTCGACCTCGTGATCCACCCGCCTTGGCCTCCCAAAGTGCTGGGATTACAGGCTTGAGCCACCGCGCCCGGCCATTTTTTTTTTTTTTTTTTGAGACACAGTCTCCCTCTGTTTCCAGGCACCAGGCTGGAGTGCAGTGGTGTGATCTCGGCTCACTGCAACCTCCGCCTCCTGGGTTAAAGCAATTCTTCTGCCTCAACATCCCGAGTAGCTGCTACAGGCGCGCACCACCATGCCCAGCTAATTTTTGTATTTTTAATAAAGATGGGGTTTTACCATGTTGGCCAGGAGGGTCTTAATCTCCTGACCTTGTGATCCGCCCACCTTGGCCTCCCATTAAGTGCTAGGATTACAGGCATGAGCCACCACGTCAGGCCTACAAAAACATTTTTAAAGACGTGTGCTTGCAATCATCACCATGCATTTCCAACATTAGGATGGTGAGGTCTCCTGCACATAAACGAACTCACATAGCCATGTTCCGCTAACATCAGATACAAAATGCCTTGGCCTGACCTCAGCCCACGACAGTCTCTTACCAAGAGCACGAAGCAAACTGGTTGTTTTAGGCCCGGGAGATTTGCCGTTTGTCACTGCAGGATCACCTCATTATCCTGACCTATATAATGATTAACCACAGACACATATACCCCTTAACTGGCTACCAGAAACCCTAGAGCCAAACACTTGCCTCATGTGACACAGGCATGAGGCTTCACTATGGTGTACGCTTCGTGGCCTAATTTCCGGCTCCCTTTTTTTCTTTCTCTCCTACTCATACGTTATGTGGGGTTGCATCTGTGCTTGCAGATTGTCTTAAATCCTTCCTTCTACGTGGCCTAAGGCAGTGGCCTCCCCATCCCGATACAGGAAGTAAGAATGTGGAATATAAACAAATAATTTCGTAGATCTGAAAAGAAAAATCTTGCTTCTGCCATTTGATGACTTATACACAGCTTAGCCCCGGAGCATAAATGAAAAAAAATACGAAGTCAGCATCTTGCAGCAGCATCTCCTACAGTTCCTACCCCACACAGTGCACAAGGACCTTTCTGGGTAGAGGCCTCATCACTCACCCACAGCCACGTTGGCAGCACGTGGCCCGGATCCAGTGGTCAGCACAGCAGGCTGCTCAGTGCTGTGGGTCTGCCATCCCTTGGACATTTCTCCTTTTGTGGGAGGAGGCTGGCAGGAGCACAGCGACTAAAGCCACTGTTGCTTCCACAGATTCTGCTCCCGCACCGTGGGCACCTGTCATGTGCAGACCCTGGGACAGGGTCTTGATTCTCACAGCCCCACTGCACCAGCAAAAAGCCAAGGCTTGGAGGGACGACACTGACTCACAGTGTAGACCTGACAGAATTTAGAACCTGACAGCTGAGAGAGGCCGGGGCATCAAGAGGGAAGCCGAACTAAACAGTAGCTGACAAGGGTTAGCATCTGTGTTTTCTCTTCTAATAAACAGCAAAATGAATCCTTGTGTTAGAGGTGACACAAAGAATTCAGTACGAGTGATGCCTTTTACAGTCTGTGTCTCAGAGTCACACGCTCTTCAGAAGGCAAAGACCAAGTATGCTGCATATCTGGATGGATCAGAAAATACACTCGGTGGCCACAGCCACCAAGGGGAAAGTGTCAGTACTTCAGGTGTGATGGAACTACGATAAGAGCCAGGCTCGCCCAGGAAGCTTCAGCAGCAAACCTGCCAACTCACTTTCTGCCCAACCACGGCCTGAACCTGGTGGAATCCGCTGTACAAAGCTGTGCTAAAGAGGCCAGTCAGAGACGAAGCCTCAGGGCCATGTGCTTACTCAGCAGCTCTGGGGATGTTGGGAGACCCTGGGACCCTCTGCTCTCCCCAGGTTTGCAGGTTCAGTTCTCATCCCGGCCACTGCTGTGGTGTGACCCCTTGGGCCAAGAACTCGTTGGCACCTGGCAGGGCTCTGCAGGTGGAGGTGGCCATGCCAGCATCTCAGAGACACTGTTTTACCATTTTTTTGTGTGAGAATCTGTAATAATATGGCCCTTTATTTTCTAAATTACACATAGTGTATGGTGGGGGGAACAAACGGTGACTTTTCTGGGGTAAATTGTGTTTCGATACATGGAAAAGCTAGAAAATGTCTAAGCAGCAGAAGAGCAGATGGTTCTAACTCCATCAACTGCCTCGATGAAGCAACATGCTGCATCACATGCCAAAGCCCTTCCCTGCAAACGTGGGATGGCAGAGCTGACGCAACGCCATCTACTCCCCCCTTGCTCTGCAGCTGCGGTCATCCTCTGTTATACTACCTCTTCTCTCAGCCTCTAACTCCTCTGTGTCTGGGGCGGAGCATTCGTACTCCAGGGTGCCATCCAGGTCCAGGTCGTCTTCGCCCTCCTCTCCCGACAGGTAACTCTTGAGGGAGCTGTCCTGCTCCAGGACGCGTTTGGCCTTCTTCCTTCCCTTTTTCATCTGCGCTGTCAGCTCAGCCACCTGTCCCTGCCACACCAGGCCCCCAAGCCCTTTATCTTTCCTCCTTTTGTACTCCATAATCTGCTTGTTGAGTGCCTCGTGATCGATCCCACACAGACTGGAGCTTGTGGCAGGCTCTGTGGTGCCGCAGGGTCGTGGGGCATCAAGGTTCCTGGGAAGGGAGAAGAGGGGCCTTCACACAAAGCACAAACCAAGCCCCCAATCCAGTGCTGTCGCCACAACACAACAGGGCATCACACTTCCTACATCTGCTCGCTCGTGAACCCTCGCAAGAGTCTATCTCAGGGTAACCGGAGACAGGAGTGAAGGAAACTGGGTTTTGGTTTTGGCATTCTCCAGCACTAGAAGCATTTGGCCAGCACAGTCTAGATGCACCTGTCCTGCATGCATTAAATGCATCTGCACCGGTTACAGTGGTTCATGCCTGTAATCACAGCACTTTGGGAGGCTGAGGTGGGCAGATCATGAGGTCAGGAGTTCAAGATCAGTCTGGCCAACATGGTGAAACCCCATCTCTACTAAAAACACAAAAATTAGCCAGATGTGGTGGCAGGCGCCTGTAACACCCAGCTACTCAGGAGGGTGAGGCAGGAAAATCACTTAAAACTGGGAGGCAGAGGTTGCAGTGAGCCGAGATCGCACCCTGCACTCCAGCCTGGATGACAGAACAAGACTCCATCTCGGGGAAAAAACAAAATGCATTTGCAACTTTTTTCTCCAAGCATGGCCAGTGCCTCAGATCAGTTAAACTAGCAGAATTACAGGTGGCGTCTATCAGATCTGCTACTCATTAACCTTCATGAAGAGTCTATTCTTGGTGAACAACACCTAAGCAGAGCCATGTCACTGCCATGTATCCTCCAAGGCTCCACTCTGGAAAGTCTCCAAAACCCTGGGCTCAGCTGCCTGACCTGCTGCCCCCACACTGCCCCTTGCTGACCCAGTCAGGGCAGGCCTGCTACAGTATGGAGCTTTGCTTCCAGCTCAGGTAAGCACCTGGCAGGCTGGTTAACCCTGACTCTGGCGGGTGCCCAGGCAATGTCGAAGCTGCTGTATAAGCCCCACAGGCAAGGCCTGCTCTAGCAGGTGCATGCCTGGAACGGGCCCTCCACAAACACCTCAGCACCTGCAGGCTCTGTCAGTTTGCACTACATGTTTGGAAAAGTTGTATATGTGTGTGTACATGCACAGGCCAAACTTCCATGTCCCCGACTGCTCTCCCAAGCCCCACCTTCCTCTACTACGCTCCTCACATATGACTGACCCATCTGTGATTGTTTACTGCTTCCTGTCAGCCTCCCCTAGTGAACCGCAGATTCCAAAGACAGCTGCAGCCTAAGTGCTAGACCAGGCATACAGTAGGCACTCAATAACAATGTGTTGAGCAACTGAAGAGGACAAGAGCCCCTCTCCTCACTGCAGGAGTCATGGCAGACACTTCTGGTGACCACTGAGGCCCTCACTGTGTAAATGTGGCCAGGCCACAGCACAGCCTGTGAACGTGGACTGCCGGCCCTGGGGGACCTTGCAGGCGACTGGGGATGTGGAACTGTGCAGCTGCTGTGGAAAACGGCAATTCCATGCCTAGGAATCTACCCCAGGGAATCAAAACATATGTCCACATGCATCACCTGAAATCATTTCGCACAAAGTCGTCTCTTTGATCTGGAGGTCCAAAGTCTGCCACTGCTAGCAACTGATCAATCTGCAGAGGAACACAGAGGGTGAACCAGTTAGCCACACCCGCACCGCCGTACTTAGAGCTGGGCTCCACGTAACATCTGCGTTGCGCCTTCCTGTGTTGCCTTAACCACTGAACTTTTGATTACACTTTCCATAATTCCTTCTATCGACTCTTCCCAGATACTTAGGAACTGTTCAATCACCTGTGCTTTCAAACACTTTAACAACACATTTTCTCAGATAACAAAGTGAAGCTTTTTTAAAACTGTATTTTAGACTTGTAAATGTTAGTCAAATGTATGAAGAAATCAGTTAAATGTTAGTTAAATTAAAAAACTAACCATTAACTACTTTCTAAGGTAGTTTTGTAAAATGCTTCGGTTTTGCCACAGAATGTGTGTGCTTGGGGGAACAAAGGCCTCCCAGCAAGACAAGGCAAAAGATGACACGGACGGTCACAAAGCTGGGAGCCTAACCTACAAGAGAAAACTGCTCCTCATAAGGGCAGATGGGATGCTACACAAAACAGGGCAAGGCCCACAAACCCTGCTGGACACTGCATTTCACCCGAACCCTGGCCTGCCTGTCCCCTGCCTCTGGGGATGTCCTCATCCTGCCTTGTGTGTGCCTTGCTTCAAGCACAGCACACGCCCTCCCTTGTCCAGTGACTGTTCTGGAAGGGAACCCACAACACCTGATGGGACCACCATCCCCAAAGACAAAGAGACTGGCCCACCCTCCCCGGGAATGCCTTGCTGATGCCCTCACAGCACATTGCCATCAAATAAACTGTCCTTGATTCCTTAAAACAGGGTTTATAAGTTCACTCCTTTGTTTCTTTTTCCAGCAAGAAAAATCACATATCTGTCAAGCTTATTACTTGCATAACGTTTTTAGTGTTACCTGTACAATGATCAACAAATATCAAAAATGTCAAACAGGATTTTTTCTTCTGCAGACCAAATGCCGTACAGTGAGTAACGGTAACCTAACTATGACACTGTGCAGTCTAGTCCCACAGTGAGTAACGGTAACCTAACTGTGACACTGTGCAGTCTAGTCCCACAGTGAGTAACGGTAACCTAAGTATGACACTGTGCAGTCTAGTCCCACAGTGAGTAACGGTAACCTAACTATGACACTGTGCAGTCTAGTCCCACAATGAGTAACGGTAACCTAACTATGACACTGTGCAGTCTAGTCCCACAGTGAGTAACGGTAACCTAACTATGACACTGTGCAGTCTAGTCCCACAGTGAGTAACGGTAACCTAACTATGACACTGATACAGTCTAGCCCCACAGTGAGTAACGGTAACCTAACTATGACACTGATACAGTCTAGCCCTACAGTGAGTAACGGTAACCTAACTATGACACCGTGCAGTCTAGTCCCACAGTGAGTAACGGTAACCTAACTATGACACTGTGCAGTCTAGTCCCACAGTGAGTAACGGTAACCTAACTATGACACTGTGCAGTCTAGCCCCACAGTGAGTAACGGTAACGTAACTATGACACTGTGCAGTCTAGCCCCACAGTGAGTAACGGTAACCTAACTATGACAGTGTGCAGTCTAGTCCTACAGTGAGTAACGGTAACCTAACTATGACAGTGTGCAGTCTAGTCCTACAGTGAGTAACGGTAACCTAACTATGACACTGTGCAGTCTAGCCCTACAGTGAGTAACGGTAACCTAACTATGACACTGTGCAGTCTAGCCCTACAGTGAGTAACGGTAACCTAACTATGACACTGTGCAGTCTAGTCCTACAGTGAGTAACGGTAACCTAACTATGACACTGTGCAGTCTGGTCCTACAGTGAGTAACGGTAACCTAACTATGACACTGTGCAGTCTGGTCCTACAGTGAGTAACGGTAACCTAACTATGACACTGTGCAGTCTGGTCCTACAGTGAGTAACGGTAACCTAACTATGATACTGTGCAGTCTAGCCCTACAGTGAGTAACGGTAACCTAACTATGACACTGTGCAGTCTAGTCCAACAGTGAGTAACGGTAACCTAACTATGACACTGTGCAGTCTAGTCCTACAGTGAGTAACGGTAACCTAACTATGACACTGTGCAGTCTGGTCCTACAGTGAGTAACGGTAACCTAACTATGACACTGTGCAGTCTGGTCCTACAGTGAGTAACGGTAACCTAACTATGACACTGTGCAGTCTAGTCCCACAGTGAGTAACGGTAACCTAACTATGACACTGTGCAGTCTAGTCCCACAGTGAGTAACGGTAACCTAACTATGACACTGTGCAGTCTAGTCCCACAGTGAGTAACGGTAACCTAACTATGACACTGTGCAGTCTAGTCCCACAGTGAACAACGGTAACCTAACTATGACACTGTGCAGTCTAGTCCCACAGTGAACAACGGTAACCTAACTATGACACTGTGCAGTCTAGTCCCACAGTGAGTAACGGTAACCTAACTATGACACTGTGCAGTCTAGTCCCACAGTGAGTAACGGTAACCTAACTATGACACTGTGCAGTCTAGCCCTACAGTGAGTAACGGTAACCTAACTATGACACTGTGCAGTCTAGCCCTACAGGGAGTAACGGTAACCTAACTATGACACTGTGCAGTCTAGTCCCACAGTGAGTAACGGTAACCTAACTATGACACTGTGCAGTCTAGTCCCACAGTGAGTAACGGTAACCTAACTATGACACTGTGCAGTCTAGCCCCACAGCGAGTGACGGTAACCTAACTATGACACTGTGCAGTCTAGCCCTACAGTGAGTAACGGTAACCTAACTATGACACTGATACAGTCTAGCCCTACAGTGAGTAACGGTAACCTAACTATGACACTGATAGAGTCTAGCCCTACAGTGAGTAACAGTAACCTAACTATGACACTGTGCAGTCTAGTCCCACAGTGAGTAACGGTAACCTAACTATGACACTGTGCAGTCTAGTCCTACAGTGAGTAACGGTAACCTAACTATGACACTGTGCAGTCTAGCCCCACAGTGAGTAACGGTAACCTAACTATGACACTGTGCAGTCTAGTCCCACAGTGAGTAACGGTAACCTAACTATGACACTGTGCAGTCTAGTCCCACAGTGAGTAACGGTAACCTAACTATGACACTGTGCAGTCTAGTCCCACAGTGAACAACGGTAACCTAACTATGACACTGTGCAGTCTAGCCCCACAGTGAGTAACGGTAACCTAACTATGACACTGTGCAGTCTAGCCCTACAGTGAGTAACGGTAACCTAACTATGACACTGTGCAGTCTAGTCCCACAGTGAGTAACGGTAACCTAACTATGACACTGTGCAATCTAGTCCCACAGTGAGTAACGGTAACCTAACTATGACACTGTGCAGTCTAGCCCTACAGTGAGTAACGGTAACCTAACTATGACACTGTGCAGTCTAGTCCCACAGTGAGTAACGGTAACCTAACTATGACACTGTGCAGTCTAGCCCTACAGTGAGTAACGGTAACCTAACTATGACACTGATAGAGTCTAGCCCTACAGTGAGTAACGGTAACCTAACTATGACACTGTGCAGTCTAGCCCTACAGTGAGTAACGGTAACTATGACACTGTGCAGTCTAGTCCTACAGTGAGTAACGGTAACCTAACTATGACACTGTGCAGTCTAGTCCTACAGTGAGTAACGGTAACCTAACTATGACACTGTGCAGTCTGGCCCTACAGTGAGTAACGGTAACCTAACTATGACACTGATACAGTCTAGCCCTACAGTGAACAACGGTAACCTAACTATGACACTGCAAAGGCTATTTGCTGATTTTTTATTGACTTTTTGAAGATATAACATACCTTAATATCTACCAGGTAACTACCAACCAGATAAGTATATATTTACATGTTTTAATCTTTATAGTTAACCCATCTCTAAAGCAAGGAAAACAATGATAAAAGTACTTCTAGTGACAGGGCAGACCTAAGTCTCACAAGCCGCAATGGTGTGAAAGGACAGCAGACAGATCCATGCCGAGAGGTGGGAGGGGGAGACAAGCGTGGGAGGGCAACTCTGGCTGTATCGACTTTACACACAAACAGACAGAGACTGTGTTTACTAATTAGAGCTACAGTGTTAAGCATAAAACAATACAAACCAGAAAACGCAATTACCTCTGGGGCCCTGGGCTGGGAACAGGGACACGGGAGAAGGGGAGCCTTTTCATTTGCACCCTCTTTCATTACTTTTCATTGTTGCCTTCTCAGTGGTTACATCTCTTTAACTGTACATTATCTTTTCAGTATTTAAAACTTAAACTTAAAATTTTGCTCACATAAATGTTTATGTTATAAAAACTTAGTTATCAGCTGGGCCCAGTGGCTCACACCTATTAACCCGGTAATTTGGGAGGCTGAGGCAGAAGGACTACTTGAGGCCAGGAGCTCAAGACCAGCCTGGGCAGTATAGTAAGACTCTGTCTCTAATAAAAAAATTAAAATTTTAAATTTTTAAAAAGTTTTTCTGAAAGCCTTACCTCAGCTAGAGCTGCACTTTGCTTGTCTTTAACAAACACTATCGGTGGCACATTCCTCAGGGTCTGCTGGGACATCAAAAGGTGCCTAGAAGAGAGAATGTGTAGATGCTCACAGCTGTACCATGACACTCAGTGGAGAGGTGTGACAATGCTGAACATAAGATTTAAGATACCACTAAGAGGCAGGAGTGAGATTTATTGTACTACTCAAAAATGACACCAGCTCAGAAAAGTCATCTTTAGCCAATTACCACATCACAAAAGGGATCAATATGCATCATAACTGCAATTGCCTTTACTTTTCTCAATTCAGCTTGTGAGATCTGTGTAAATCACCTGATCTGAACTCATCACCGTGGCCTTGGGTTCCAGGGTCTGTGCACTAACAGCGTGTCCTCCTGCACTCAGTGGACCTGCACTGGCACGACGCAACCCTCAGGTTCCCAGATATTAGACACAGAAATGATACCTGCATCATGCACATCACACAGTGCAGACCTAGGCCAATGCAGGCACGGCACATATAACCAGTGAAAGCCGTGACCACAGATCTTTGGTACACAGCTATGGTAAACCTTCATCCTAAATCGTGGGTGACCACAGGAGTTGGGAAGAGAGACATTCAGCTCAACTGAATTTTTGATACCTAAAAATTGAAAAACAATGCTGTTCCAACACTTGTCCAGAATCTCTCATTTTCTTGGTTTTGTTAGACAGTAGAAATGAAATGAGCATTCTCTGACATGCAGTTTAGGAAAGACTCCTGGGCAACACCATGCTGGGTGTTGCTGGTAAGGAAGCCAGGCAGGTGCCTGAAATGAAGCCCACACATGGTCACCTTTTCTACTTCTGTCCCCATCCTAAACCTGGAGCATGATGAGAAGGGAGGCAGGAAGGAAGAATTCCAGTTCTGAGAATGCTGCTCAGTGAGCTGGATTTCTCTTTTGTTTTATTTTTGAGATGGAGTTTTGCTCTTGCTGCCCAGGCTGGAGTGCAATGGCATGATCTCAGCTCACTGCGACCTCTGCCTCCTGAGTTCAAGCAATTCTCCTGCCTCAGCCTCCCAAGTAGCTGGGATGACAGGCATGCACCACCAAGACTGGCTAATTTTGTATTTTTTAGTAGAGAAGGGTTTCTCCATGTTCAGGCTGGTCTCGAGCTCCCGACCTCAGGTGATCCGCCTGCCTTGGCTTCCCAAAGTGCTGGGATTACAGGCGTGAGCCACTATGCCCGGCCGATTTCTGCATTTTTTAAAACTGAGGAGGAAATGGAATTATTTCTTTATTATCACCCAGCTTAGCAATTCCCCAAATCTTTTTTCTCAGGATCCTTTATACTCTTAAAAATTATTGAAGGGCCGGGCGCGGTGGCTTACGCCTGTAATCCCAGCACTTTGGGAGGCCAAGGCGGGTGGATCACGAGGTCAAGAGATCGAGACCATCCTGGTCAACATGGTGAAACCCCGTCTCCACTAAAAATACAAAAAATTAGCTGGGCACAGTGGTGCATGCCTGTAATCCCAGTTACTCAGGAGGCTGAGGCAGGAGAATTGCCTGAACCCAGGAGGCAGAGGTCGCGGTGAGCCGAGATCGCGCCATTGCACTCCAGCCTGGGTAACAAGAGCGTCTCAAAAAAAAAAAAAAAATTATTGAAGATCCCAAAGAGATTTTGTTTATATGGGTTATATATATCCATATTTACTATACTAGAAACTAAAACTGAGAAATCTAAAAGCTGTGTCTTTTTAAAGTCATTAAAAACCCACTAAATGCTTACATAGACATTTTTAATGAAAAAAGTATATATTCTACCCCCCCCAAAATCAATGAGAAGTATGGCATTGTTTACATATTTGCACATTCTCCAAGACCAGCTTCATGGAAGACAGCTGGGATCTCATTGCTGCTTCTGCACTCTGTCCTTACTCTCGCTGAAATACAGGAAGAGCCAGCCTAATAGCTCATGCCTGTAATCCCAGCACTTTGGGAGGCCAGAGAATTGCTTGAGCCCAGGAGTTGGAGATCAACCCAGCTGACATAGGGAGACCCTATCTCTACAAAAAAACTTAGCCAGGTGTGATGGCATGCACCTGTGCTTCCAGCTGTATGGGAGGCTGAGGCAGGAAGACTGCTTGAGCCTGGGAGGTTGAGGCTGATTGCGCCCCTGCACTCCAGCTTCGGAGACAGAATGAGATCCTGTCTCAAAAAAAATCAAAAAGAAAGAAAGAAAATAAGAAGAAAATCAGGCCTCACAGGTATGTGTTGGGAAAGAGAATTTAACAGCCCTCAGAAAGTATGGATCTTCTTTGTCACAGAAACTCAACAAGTGTACTCCCAGCCTGGCCAACATGGTGAAACCTCATCTCTACTAAAAATACATAAATTAGCTGGGTCTAGTGGTGGGCATCTGTAATCCCAGCTACTCAGGAGGCTCAGGCATGAGAATCGCTTGAACCGAAGAGGCAGAGGTTGCAGTGAGCCAAGATCACTCCACTGCCCTCTAGCCTAGGCGACAGCTCAAGACTCCATCTCAAATAAATAAATAAATTAATTAAAGGTCAGTTGTAATGAGGAATCTGAAACTACACCAATCAACCTGTCACACTCTGCTATATTAAAACTCATCCTCTGGCTCCCACTGAATGATTTCTCTCAGCGTATGGTTTTGTAACCTCAGGTACTGGTCATTTGGAAAACAACGGTTCACCTAGTTACACAGATTTTAAAAGTGTTGACAGTTTATCATATAATAGCATGTTTACTAATGTCACTGCCAATCTCATCAGAAGACTCTCAAGTACCTAGAAGTTGTCAAGCTCACAGTGGCGAATACAAGTTTCCTAAAATTCTGATTTTCATTTCAAAGCTTCAGTTTTATCACTGGCAACGGATAGAGTCAGTTGTTTGTCCTAAAGTGGTAGGTTCACTCGCTCATTTTTAAAGAATGTCTGCCAAGCACCGAACCTCAACAGTCTGCTCATTGATGCCTTTCTGCTCAGCACTCTCCAGATGCCAGGTGATTTACATGTACTTCCCATCACAAAGAATATTAAAGACACACTCAAGGGTTAAGATTTAATTAAATTAAGATTTTTTTAAATTAACTGTCTAGGATTTTTTTTTTAAATTTTTTTCTTTGAGAAACAGGGTCTTGCTCTGTTGCCCTGGCTGGAATGCAGGGACGTGATCATGGCTCACTGCCACCTCAAATTCCAGGGGTGACAGAAATCCAGGGATACCTCCCATTTCAGCCTCCTGAGTAGGTGGGACTACATGTGTGTACTGCAACTATGTGGTTAATTTTTTAATTTTTTGTAGAGACAGGGGCCTCACCATCTTGCTCAGACTGGTCCTGAACTCTTGGCCTCAAAAGATCCTCCTGCCTCGGCCTCCTGAGGTGCTGGGATTACAGGCAACCACCACCATGTCCAGCCTCATCTGGGATTTTCTTAAGTAACGTGACACTGTCTTTTACTATAGGTAAAAGGCATGATGCCCCTACAGCACTGGCAGGCAGCGTGGCACCCGCAGTCTTCCCTCACGGTTTCTGCACCCTCAGTGTAAACATCAACAGAGCAGGAGAGGGAAAATAACATCTTACCCTAATGAACTCCCTGACAGAATTTCCAGATCGCTAGGAATTCTGGCACGCTTTGAGAAATGCTACCCTACATTATGGCTCATATGAAAATGCAAATTATACTGTGAACTTCAAGAAAATGCTTCCAAAATTTTCCTTAAAAGCAAAAATACTCAATGAAAAGTTAAAGTCCATCTACAACTGAAACAGCTGAGAAATTTAAGGTGCGAGCAAAAAGCAAGTACGTTCAGAAAGCAAAGGTCCTCACCTCATGTGCGCGGCACTTTTCTGCAGGACAGTCTCCGTGCGTGCGTTCTGCTCAGCAGAGAGTGTTGTCTTCCAGTACACTCGGCAGGCTGAGAAGTCTGGAGTCAGAGAAACCTGAGACCCCACCCCCACACAGGTCACTCTTTAGTTTACATGGATTTTCAAGACAAACCACATCCAGGAGATGAAAACGGCAGCTGCAGAAGCCCCTCTCACCCGAGACAGGGCTCTGGCATGGTGCCGGAGGCCACCACCTGCTGCTGCACAACACCCCCAGGTGAAAGCAGGGCCCCGAAAACCAAAACCTCCCTCCCCTCCTCACCAGGTCCCGCAGTTTGCAGAACAAAACCGGAATCCTGCCCCCATGTTTGCCTCACAGCCACTTGCCCTGAGACGCTAATCAAAAATTGTCGAAGCTGTCTTTTCTCCTGATGACTTCCTTTTAGCTGAACTCACTCTGAGTGGGTCGGAGGAAGTCATCTTCTGTACCTCTGCACTGAGGCACATGCAGATGTACCCTCTTCCCGTGGGAGGCTTAGACTGTCTACTATCTGACAATGTGCCAGGTGCTGTTTGGTCACAGGAGTCCTGCCTTGCAGTGAGACATCTGCCTCTGCACAGCAGATACCCACCATCTGTCTTTAGGGCTCCTATGACCAGACTATCATTTCTGCAACCCAGAACTAAGACTTTATAAATGCTAGTCTTTTTTTTTAATTGTCAGGCAACACTGGGCCAGGTAAAGTAAGTGCCAGGCCTGCTGTCTCAACTCATTTCTTCTCTTTGGCCATGCAGCCTACCTTGGAGAGTTCCACATTAAGGTCATAGAGCTCCTGACTCACTTCAGGGGTACACAGCAGGTCTGTCAGTGCCTTATAGAGAAGGCCATTCAGGGCCCTCAGGCGCACATGGTCTTCCTTCCTGGTTTTCTGTGAGGTGCTCCTCATGAGGAATTCCAACTTGGATGGTTTGTAAGTCTCCATCAAGAAGAAGAGCACAACCCAAGGGCAGCATTACAACTCTACACCCAACTTACCAACTCATACAACAGGGGCTGGGGAAGGGCTTGATGGGCAACCAGATAAACAACAGCTATCACTCTCAGCCTTGTCGGCTTTCAAGATAAAGTTTGTTCTTTATAAACTGGGACCCTTTTAGATTTGACCGGATAACCCTCCAAGATTAAAAGTACTACAAGTAAATATCTTCTCAAAAACAGTTTTTGTTGAGATATAATTCACATACCATAAAGCTCACCCTATTAAAGGGAATAATTCAGTAATTTTTAGCATATGTGATGGATTTATTTTTCAGAATGGGACCATATATTGCGCAAACTTTTATGGTACACACACGCTAAAAACTGAATGGACATTACCATATTATAGTTGGATAAAAAATATAACTTTCCAGAAGACATTAATATCAGTACATTTTTTTTTAAGGTCAAAGCTTCATTTACCAATGGCATCTCGTCGCATCCACACAGACACTGTCCCCTCTCACACAGAGATGGAAGACCTCCAGGTAAGAATTTTGCCCACTTTTAAACTCTCACTCCCATCAAGATTATAAAGTGGCTGGTGGCTTATACTCACCAAGTGCGAGCCCAAGGAAGGACCTTCATACCAAAACTTTTTTCTTTGGGGAGAAGATAAACATTATGTTAGTCATGGCAAAGTCAAAAAGTTACATTTACTAATTTAAGAGGTTATGATACCACAACCGTTTGTAAGGGGCTAAACTTAGACAGTACATTACTGGCCATCTTAAAAAATTTCAAAACTTAATTGATAACAACATGGGTTGTGGGGAAGAGGTTGAAGATGGTTTTAATTCAACCTTGTAATTTTTACTTAAATTCTACTTCTAGTCCCAAGGATACAGAGGGAATCTTAAAAAGATACCTACCAAACTGCACAGAAACGCTATACTCTAGTTGAGAAAGATGTTTCCCATGGAAGTTCAGGTAGAGGATTCTGATACTGTTCTAGGCACAGACTGAGAATGAACACTTAAGCAAATGGATGGTGGGAGCCACGCTCAGCTCACTACTGGAGTGGGGACTTACAGATAAGCAAGGAGAGGAGGCTAGAATGATCCACATGGGATGCTCTGGAGTTGGAGACAGATGGTTATACACAGAAATGTTTACAGGTGCATATTTACACACAGGTTAGCAGAAACATGTATACTCTTTCGTCAGATGAGATGGCCCAAAAGACATGCACCCCAGAAGCAATGAACACACCCGGCACCCATGATTTCTAATATCTCTCTCCAATAAAAGGAATAAGGGCACCTTGGCAAAATGGCTGATTTTAGGGCTGGGGCAGGAAACACAAGATAAGCCTGGAGCATCCCGTAGTGTCAGAAAGTAGGAAAGTGTTCAATGCACACAAAAACCCAGCAAAACCCCACAATGACAGGGTATGCAAACAGGACACAGGAGCTGAGAGAGCCAGAGCTAGAAACACCGGAACAAAATAAAGCAACATGAGACGAGTTCTTAGTGATATGAATGAATTAATGGGGGAGAAGAGACACATCCGCCTTTTTTTTTTTTTTTTTGAGACGGAGTTTCGCTCTTGTTACCCAGGCTGGAGTACAATGGCACGATATTGGCTCACCGCAACCTCCGCCTTCTGGGTTCAAGCAATTCTCCTGCCTCAGCCTCCCGAGTAGCTGGGACTACAGGCGCGAGCCACCATGCCCAGCTAATTGTTGTGTTTTTAGTAGAGACGGGGTTTCACCATGTTGACCAGGATAGTCTCGATCTCTTGACCTCGTGATCCACCCTCCTCGGCCTCCCAAAGTGCTGGGATTATAGGCGTGAGCCACCGCGCCCGGCCACATCCGCTTTGTTTCCCCCCTCGTTTCCTTAAACTAATCTCCTGAAAAAGGCTTCTGGTGACAAGAATCAAAATAAACACACATTGTCACTTTGCTTTTTAACCCAACACAGCTTCACGAACAGAAAACTGCCAATGTTGACAGTTGAGGGCTGGAACTGTCGCAGACCCAAGCAGAATGCCAATCACTTATGAGCAAAATTCTGCACTCCTGAAGCGTGGGCTGTACGCAGCGACTTTCTCCCAGAGTATAGCAGGGAAAGGGGGCAAAAAGAGGTGGAGAAACCCAGCCAAGCACCTCAGCCAGCGGCCAACGTGGACCCTGGATAGGGTGCGATAATGGCCTTTACCTCTACAGTCTTCCTCCCCAGAATCCATAATCCACGTCTAAACATAAGGAAAGCAGGCACATTCCAACAGAGGGACATCCTGCAAAGCATCTGACCAATACCCCTCAAAACTGGCACACCCATCAAAAACAGGGACAGTCTGGGACACTACCTCAGCCTAAGGAGACAATTCAATGTAACGATAACATGGACCGTGGGCGGGGACCTGGGATAGGAAGGGACAGCGGGCAGCACCAAGGAAAAGTGAATAAAGCACGGGCTTCAGTTAGTAACGATTTATCGACATCGGCTCATTAACTCCACCACGTCAGGGGCTAAAGTGCGATGTTTACAGAGGGGCAGCGGGGTGCCAGGACGCAGGAACTCAATACTATTTTTGCAATTTTTCTGTAGGGTCTAAAACTGCCTTAAAAGTAGTGTGTTAAAGTAGAAAACATACACCCCCCCCTGCCAGACTTAGCAGAAAGTCAATATAGTTCATTGTACTTAATTTTCATCATTTAAAAATACTATCATGACAAGCTTTAGTCTTCAAATTAACTCCACACAGAAAGTCAACATTAACAAGGAAATTCTTATATTTTTTCATTTTCCCTCATTTGCTGAATGAAACTAATTTCCTGAAAAATGCTTCTGGCGACAAGAATCAAAATAGACACACGTCGTCACTTTGTTTTTTAACCGGACACACGTGCACGAACAGAAAAACTGCCACTGTTGACAGTGAGGGCTGGAACTGCCGCAGACGCCCGCAGTTAGGAGCTGGCGACCCAGGCCGCGTGGGCGCGGGAACCGGGCTGCGCAGACACCGCCCCCCGGAGACACCACCCGCCAGGGAACACCGCGCCCGGGGACACCGCCCTCCGCCGCATTACTTGGTTTTCGAGGCAAATTTCTTGAGCCAGTTCTTGCAGGAGACAGCGGAGCCGTGCAGTCCCCGCGCGCAGTCCGGAACGAGCGCAGCATCGCGGCTGCGGAGCAGGACCCGGAGCCCCGCGCGGGAGCCCCACAGCCCGCCCGCCGCAGCCCACATGGCGGGGCGCAGGGCCCGGCGCCACCAAGGAGACAACGGGCGCAGGCGCAGAGCTACGACTGACGCGAGCTGGCGACGTGTGGGCGGGGCGACGGTGCGAGGCGCGGAGAAAACTGGGCGCGAGGCCGGCAGAGTAAAGACGACGGAAGGGGGCGGGGACCGACGCGAGGCGGGGCGAGACGGAAGGGGGCGGGGACTGACGCGAGGCGGGGCGACGACGGAAGGGGGCGGGGACCGACGCGAGGCGGGGCGAGACGGAAGGGGGCGGGGACTGACGCGAGGCGGGCGGCGGGTAGGCGGGGTGAGGATGACGCGAGGTGGGCGGTGAATGGGCGGGGCGAAGACGACGCCGGGTGGGCCGTGCGCTGGCTGGGAGTCGACACGCAGTGGGGGGGTGGTTACGCGCGCGGGGTGCGGGGCGGGGCGACGACCCGCGCTAGGCCGGAGACTGGGAGCGGGCGGCAAAGGGGGCGGGTCGAAGCCAGGGGCGAGGCGGGGCAGGGGAAGGCGGGGCGTGGGGAGGCCGCGTGGACTGCGCGGAGGGTGAGCCACGCGGGGAAACGCGAGAACCGTCCGGCTGCGGCACCACGGAGCCCCGGAACACTTTGCTTGAAAGCAGGGAACTGCCGTGGGCGGGTGCGGCCCAAAGCAACGAAGGCGGCGGGGTCTGCGAGGCGTCCGTCCGTTTCCGCCGCTGGTCCCGCCAGGGTTGCTTCTGAGCGGCCTCCTCCGCAGGCAGCCAAAGACCCCAGAGGCGGCCCAGCGCCGTCCGCCGCCCCGGAGCCAGCGTGGCCCAGCGGGGAAGCCGCTCCCCCGGGTGTGGACGGAGAAGCGAGCGCGGCCGCAGCGCGGGGGGTGCGTGGGCTCCTGTGGTGTGAGACACGTCCGTGTGTGTGTGTGTGTGTGGACACGTGCGTGTGTGCGCACATACATGTGCGTGTGGACATGGGTCAGTCGAAGAAAATGATGAGACGAGTCTCAATCAGTTTAGGAAATGTATTTGCCAAAGTTAAGGACGTGCCCAGGATACAGGTCTGTGCTTTTCTCCAAAGATGATTTTGGGGGCTCCGGATTTAAAAGGGAAGGGGCGGACTATTGAGAAGCGCAGAGTTTTCACGTTAAAAAAAGGGCAGAAGAGAAATGTGGGGAATCTGCATTTTACGTAAGGTAACACCGACGAAATGGGGGCGGGGAACAGTCTGATGGGCTAGGGTGACTGCACGTGTTAAAATAAGCTATCAATTTGCATTGCCATGGTGAAGTTTTATTTTTTGTTTCTAGTTTTTTGAAATGGTGTTTTACTCTGTCGTCCAGGCTGGAGGGCAGTGGTGTGATCGCCATTCAGTGCAACCTCTGCCTTCTAGGTTCACACAATTGTCCTGCCTCAGCCTCCCGAGTAGGTGGGATTATAGGCGAGTGCCACCACACCCAGCTAATTTTTGTATTTTTAACAGAGATGGGATTTCCCCATATTGGCCAGGCTGGTCTCAAACTCCTGACCTCAAGTGATCTGCCCGCCTCAGCCCTCCAAAGTGCTGGGATTACAGGCGTGAGCTGCTGTGCCCGGCCACCAGGGTGAAGTTTTAACAGCTCACCAGAATTTCCTGTGGGGAAAATATTAGGGAGGGTGTAGCCTTTCGTCTCGTAGCCATCTTATTTAGGGTAGGGTTGATGGCCCACAGGGTCGTGGGGTGTCCCTTATGCTGTGCTAAGGCACAGGATCTGAGAAATAAAGAGGACACAGAAGTACAAGGAAAACACAGCTGGGCTCAGGGGGCCACACCACCTACAAGCGGAGTCAGGCCAGGCCCCAAATGTCCAGAAGCATGAGTATTTATTGTGTGTAGGTTAGGGGGCAGGGCAGTGAGTGAAATCATCTTTAAGGATAGTGATAGGGTCATGAGCAATAAAACAAGGGGTCCACCCCATTAGGTCACCTAGGCTGGGAGGTGGACAGTGCACAGCAAGGGGCCCGTTCCCATTAGGTCATCGAGGCAAGGGCCATGTGCAGTAAGGGGTCCACCCCCATTAGGTCACTGAGGTATGGAGGTGGGCTGGGCACAGTGAAGAGGGTTCGGTGTGCAATACCTCTATCTATGGGCAAGCTACTAAGAATACAGGAGGATGCTTTAAGTCACACAGCAGAGACAGAACTGTCAGGGTCTACACCACCTGCTGGCAGCTTCCAATGAGTTCTATAGGGGAATGCTTTTCAAGCAGCACAGTAACAACAGCTGATAAAGTTCACAGTCACCAAGGTGTGATTGCCGGTCTGAGGGCGGCCTTCCACGAAAACTGGGGCAAGGTCCTACAACTCCTTTATCAGGAGGAATGGCTGTTGCCCCAAGCCTGCCATACAGCGGGTATCTTTAGGGTACTGAACGCTGCTGCCTGGGCCGTGGGTTCTTGTCCTAGTATAACTGTTTTCCCTTAAATCATGCTCTGCACTGTGTCTGCTCCAGACATTCCTCCAACTATAAGCTGCTTATTCCTTAATTCACGCTCTGTACTGTGTCTACTCTAGGCATTCCTCCGATAATGAGCTAAGATACACACACCCACACACACACATATATATATGTGTGTATATATATGTATATATATATATGTGTGTATATATATGTATATATATATGTGTGTGTGTATATGTATATGTGTGTGTGTCTATATGTTTGTATATATATGTGTGTATATATGTGTGTATATGTATATATATGTATGTGTATATGTATGTATATATATGTGTGTATATGTATATATATGTGTGTATATATGTGTGTGTATATGTATATATATGTGTGTATATATGTATATATATGTGTGTATATGTATATGTGTGTGTCTGTATATATATGTGTGTATATATATGTATATATATGTATGTGTATATATGTGTGTATATATGTGTGTATATGTATATATATGTGTGTATATATATGTATATGTATGTATATGTGTGTATATGTATATGTGTATATGTGTGTATATGTATATATGTGTGTATATATGTATATGTGTGTGTATATGTATATATGTATGTGTATATATGTATATGTGTGTATATATATGTATATATGTGTGTATATGTATATATATGTGTGTGTATGTATATATATGTGTATATATATGTGTATATGTGTGTATATGTATATATATGTGTGTGTATATATATGTATATATATGTGTATGTGTGTGTATATGTATATATGTATGTATATATGTGTGTGTATATGTATATATATGTATGTGTATATATGTATATGTATGTATATATGTATATATGTGTATATATGTATGTGTGTGTATATGTATGTATATATATGTATATATGTGTGTGTATATGTATATATATGTGTATATATGTGTGTATATGTATATATGTGTGTATATGTATATATATGTGTATATATGTATATATGTGTGTGTGTATATGTGTATATATATGTGTGTATATATGTATGTGTATATATGTGCGTGCATATGTATGTATATGTATGTATATATGTGTGTGTATATGTATATATGTATGTGTATATATGTATACATATGTATGTATGTGTGTATATATGTGTGTGTATGTATATATAAATATGTATGTATGTGTATATATATATGGAAGTAAATGAGTGGTAAGATTTTCTTTAAGCACCCACTCTATGAAGTAACATGATTATATATAGAGGATTATATAAAGGGAAATAACTAAGTAGTAACACTATAAACTGAGATATTCTCCAAGCCCTAATTCTGTAAACTAATATAATTACATAGAAGGAAATAACTGAGATATTCTTCAGGCCTTAATTATGCCGGATTCTGCTTAGGTCTCCTTCCTCAGTACCTACATGGGGGTAACCCACACATATGATTTGGCAGCACAGCCTTCCTCATAAGCATGACCCCATGGTTCAGCAAAGAGATACTCATGTTTCCATCATTCAGGGCCTTTTGGGTGTAATTTGTTAAGGCTTCTATATGCTATATAACATCTTCAATACCTATTTGTGGTACAGAGATTGAAGCTAAATGATCACACCATTGGAATGCTGAATGTGTCCAACAAGATTGTAAATGAAAAAGGTTTGCTGGTTTTGGCAGGGTCTGAATTAATCATCCTTGTACCCAAGCATAACCTAGGGAGCATCATCCCAGCCACCCTGGAGGGGACCACGGCCGTAAGTCAGTGCCACATAGCCAGTATGTCCCATTGGGAGCGAGCCAATAAATACCTGGTCGCTGCACCCAATTGGTGGCAAGCCAGTCAGTGTCTTATAATATGATAGTGTGGTCACAACATTCTCCAGGTATCCACCCCGTTATCTCTCCTACTGTTTGGCCATAGGTCCTGGGTGGTGATTTATTTGTTCCCAGCACAAAGGAGCATTTTGGCTGAGTTGGCCAAATGAAGGGGTGAACCATGTAAATCTATCCCAAGTTTGCATCATTCCATTGTAAAAGGGCCATTGTTTGGGGCATGGTTGCCACTTTCTGTTTTAGTTGGTGGGGATACTAAAGTGAGAGCTAATGAGCTGGTCCTTTCCATTGAAAAACTTTTCCCATGTCCCTTGTTCTTAAGAGTGTATTTGTTTATTTATTTTGAGACGAAATCTCACTCCATCACTCAGGCTGGAGTGCAGTGGCATGATCTCGGCTCACTGCAACCTCTGCTTCCCGGGTTCAAGCAATTCTGCCTTAGCCTGCCAAGTAGCTGGGATTACAGGTGCGCACCACCACACCTGGCTAATTTTTGTATCTTTAATAGATATGAGGTTTCACCATGTTGACCAGGCTGGTCTGAAACTCCTGATCTAAAATGATTCACCCACCTTGGTTTCTCAAAGTGTTAGGATTACAGTTGTGAGCCACTGCACGTGGCCAAAGGTGTTTTTAATGGGCCAGTTATAGATACTGTCTTTTGTTATGCGAGCACTAAGAATACCAGACCATTTCTGTGATGTAATAAATTTTTGGTATTCTATCCAGTCCTGACTTTGGAAGGAGGATACCCACCATAGCAGGCCAGAGCCACTGGAAAGAGTCATGAGTCCAAATATCCAGCAGGTGTTCTTTTATAACCTGTCTGCATAATCCTGAGCCCGTTATAGAA